AAGTTAAAGGCATAGGGGCAGTAAAAAACGGTGTTTCAGTTCAAAGCAGTATTTTGTAGAGTTTTTCATTGTGAATCGAACGGTGAACTTGGAAACGTACAGAAGTTCCTAGTTTTGAAGAAAAAATAATTCAAAGTCGGAGAGAGAAAAGTTTGAGTTCCCGCAAAAAGGGCGCTTTGCAGTAAAGTTGCTCTATGGACAACAGGTTTCGCCATCTTCCGGATTTTCGCTTTTTTCTTCGTTTCTTTCAATTTTCAATTTTTTCTGTTGTCACCTAAGTTCTTTTCGTCACAAAAGCTTTCTATTCATGTATAAATTGCAAACTTTGATCGCAAAAATGCTTTTCTGGTGAAAAATGATGATTTTACACAGGTTTCGATTGAGATTGCGATATTTTGTGTTTTGTTTATTATCATTGTGTGTTTTCTGTTTTCTTAATCAATTTTTCAGAGAAGAAACCCCTAATTTTAAGCAGAAATCCGGTTATTTCTCACAAAATGCGAGTCTAACGAGACGTCCGCAACGTCGCGTGCACGGCTACTGTAAACAGTTGTCTGCATACCGATCCAAAGCTTTTTTCAAAATTAAAGGCGGGAAAGTAAAATCGCGTTTTTCTTCTAAAGTTGTCACACCTGTAATTGTTTTGAATACACCATTCGATTCGCAAAGAAAAAAACTATATAAGATACTGCTTTCACCTGAAACCCCATTTTTTTACTGCCCCTATGCCTTTAAGTTTTGAAAAATTTATAATTCAAGGATATCTGTAGCATTTTCTCTCATTGCTCAGAAAGGTCTTGGGAATATTCAGAAAGTTAGTTTTTTTACAAAGACCCTGAAAGTATGATTTATGCTTTTTTTCATTAAACGTTCAGGATTTGATGCTAGTTTTGTGAGCTCAGCTCGAGCTCAACCCTGATCCATCGTCTCTCAACAAACTGTGGAAGATAAATCGAGCAATCCCTGTCGAACAGTTGTAAGACACGGGGGAGAAAAAGATAAAAAGCGGAGGATTGAAGAAAAATTACAGGGTCCTTCGGATACCGACGGCCGGTGATGAATCGACCACTGGACATTTTTTTTTCCTTGTTGCAGTCTCGTGATCGATTTTATCTTCTCGCAGATCTTCAGATTCTCTTATATAAAGTTGCGGCGGGGGAGTTTTTCGATTTGGGGGCTTATATATGATATAAAGGCTATTGGGGGCAGTTATGAACTAATTTGAGAAGGAAAAAAAGTTCAATTTGAGCCCATTTTGAAAGTTTTATAAATTCCTAGAGCGTAAAAGTTCAAAAAAACGCTTGCAAATCCTAGCGAAACTTCGTAGATTTTGTTCAAAAAAAGAAACTGGAAAATCTTTTGTTTTTCATGAATTCGGTATTTTTTTCAAAGATCTTTTTGATTTGATAAAAAAATTTAAGACTTCAAGCTTGATTTTTTTGAGGTCCTGAGATCAGAGACAATTCAAATCGGATATTTTTTTAAATAACTTTTTAAACTTTTTTTGCCAGAAACTTCTATTCTTCACACACTATCAGCTGTTGATCATACTGGGCTTCTGCGCGGGCAGACCCGCCAACCTATCATCTCCCGAGCCTGCCCGCCTTTAGCAAAGACCTCCAGCAAAAACAAGCTCATGTTTTCTTTTAAGTTAAAAATCAGACTTTTTTTCTGACAAAAATCACGTCTTCGGTTCTTTATTTCCCTTGTAATCGAACAAAAAAATTATTATTTTACGAGTAAAAAAAGAATTTTGCGTAGAAAAACTCAGAGTTGGGACTTTTTCTGACCGCTTCGAAGCCTGGACTGGCTCTAGCTCGGGCCGGCCCGACCCGGCCCAGCCTGGACCATACAAATGGCTGCCCATGAATACGAATTGGAATTGCCCGCGGGCCGTCGTCGTCGTCATGCGGGTGATGGATGAGAGCAGCTCTGCCGGATCTCATAATCCGGGCCGACAAAACAGAGCGGCGGAATTCGGGGCGGCTTGACTGATTGGCTTGACTGTCGGCGGCCCGTCGGCGGCTGATTGATGGTCGTCGCTTCGCTTGTTTCGCGCCTCCCTTCCCTGTCCCTCCGTGTTGTTTTCTATCACTCCGAGTGCATTTTGTGTGTCAGACCAGACAACACTTCGTTTTTCTGTTGTTTTGAGCTTCCGAGGAGTACAACCGATGGTTATGAAAAACACCGGTGGAAAAACTTTTTTTGATTCTCATTACAGTGGAAGAAATGACACAGGGTCATACATGAACAGAGCTTTATTAGCCCAGAAGGATGGGTTGACTCATAAAAAAAGTCACCAGAATAAAGAGAAATTGAAAAAATATTTCGAGTATGCGTTAGTGCGTCTCGGTGTTTTTTTACACCCTAAGCATCATACTTTACGTAATATTTTTAATTTATAGTTTTAAAAAATTCGAGTATGCGGTAGTGCGTCTCGGTGTGTTTACACACTAAGCATAATAATTTACGTGATATTTTAATTTATAATTTTAAAAATTTCGAGTATGCGGTAGTGCGTCTCGGTGTGTTTACACACTAAGCATAATAATTTACGTAATATTTTGATTTATAATTTAAAAAATTTCGAGTATGCGGTAGTGCGTCTCGGTGTGTTTACACACTAAGCATAATAATTTACGTGATATTTTAATTTATAATTTTAAAAATTTCAAGTATGCGATAGTGCGTTTCGGTGTGTTTACACACTAAGCATAATAATTTACGTGATATTTTTAATTTATGATTTAAAAAAATTTCGAGTATGCGGTAGTGCGTCTCGGTGTGTTTACACACTAAGCATAATAATTTACGTAATATTTTGATTTATAATTTATTTCGAGTATGCGGTAGTGCGTCTCGGTGTGTTTACACCCTAAGCATCATAATTTACGAGAAGTCTTGACTTGCGTATTAAAAAAAACGTGGGAACTTCCTGAAAATTGGCTAGAACGCTCCTTGATGTACCAGAAAGTCTCAAGCTGCACAACTTCCTAGATCCCAAGAAATAAGGGCCTAAAGCCCCAAAATGGCTCATTTTTATGGATTTTTAGCGTTTTCTTTGAATTTGCAGCTTCTTTTCTCGAAAGCTAGAAATTTTTGCAGGTTGAGCAAATAGGGTATATTTAAACAGGAGAAAATTTTGAGCATGATAATGAGTTCTCAATTAAGAAGACAGCAGAAAACTTTGACAAGAAAAATTTTTTTCAATTTGAAAATATTTTTTTAAGGTTGAAAAACGATGTCAAGTATAAAAAAATTCACCCTAATCCTTTTTATTGTGATACTAAAAAACATCGAGAAGGTGATATAAAAAAATAATTCGAAAAAAATGTTTAGTAACTTTCCTTGACTTTGGACAGCCGCAGCGCGACCGCGTTGCGTTGAGCCATTCCAAATGCGACCATGAAAGTTCATTTATATGGTTTTGAGAAAAAAAGAACTTGTCAATGACTATTTTTCCCTGTGTGAAATAGATATTAAATTGTTCGAAAATGAAAAACTCTATGTTTTTCAATTTTTTAGGCTTTCCGAAAATCCACAAAAATGTTTCTTTCAACATCTTCTCACCCCAATGACATCTCCAATCCTTATCACTGTTTCCAACAAAAGCCGTGTCATAAACTAGGGCCCGTCGGTTCGCATCAGCCACACGGACGTCATCGGAATCAGCAGAAGACGTCGTCTCTCGGCCATAAATCACGACTAGAATAACATTGTCTGCACCCGGTTTTTTTCCCTTCTTTCTCTGTAAATTTCCTCATCATGTCGAAGTGGGGTGAACGAAAAGGACAGGGAGAAAGATGTTCGATTTAAGCTTTTCCGATCTTATCTTTCATTTTGATCAATTGGAAAGCTTGAAAATTTCAAAAATGATGTTTGCCTTCAAGATTTTGAATCAAAAACTCATCTAAAAATCATTTTTTCGAGGGAAAATCTCTAGTGGCCACTTAAGAGGTCCCTCAAGGAGTGGTCCCTGTTCGATTTAATCTTTTCTGATCTTTTTTTCTGATCAAAAAAATAGAAAAGCTTAAAATTTTTGAAAACGACGTTTTTCTGTCAAGATTCTGATTCAAAAACTCATTTTTAAAAAAATCTCTTTTTCAAAGATAAAACCTCTAGTGGCTACTTAGGAGGACCCTCAAGGACTACTTGGGGAGGACACTAAAGTGGCCACTAAACCCACTTTTTATAGCGTCACTGAACCGATCATAACAAAAACTTGGAAGTAATATAGAAAAAAATAATGA